TTGGTTAAAACGTGCAACCTGTTGGTTAAAATGTAATACGTGTTGGTTAAAACGTGTAACATGTTGGTTAAAACGTGTTAGGTGTTGGTTAAAACGTGTAACATGTTGGTTAAAACGTGTTACCTGTTGGGTAAAATGTGGTTGGTGTTGGCTAAGATGTGTTAGGTGTTGGTTAAAACGTGTAACCTGTTGGTTAAAACGTGTTACGTGTTGGTTAAAACGTGTTAGGTGTTGGTTAAAACGTGTTAGGTGTTGGTTAAAATGTGCACATGGTTGGTTTCTTCCAGCTGGTGTACGAGCGGATCCCGCGGGGGGACCTGGACCAGAGGGTGATCCACCTCCGGGTTCTGGGTGACGGGGCTTTCTGGGAGAACACACTGCTGGGAGAGACCTTCATCCCCCTGAAGAGGCTGGTCCCGGGTCAGCACTGGGTGGACTGGCACCAGCTTGGCGCCGCCGGCTCAGACTCCACCCACTGACAGACAAGAGACAGGAAGGAGTTAAAGGAGAAGAAGAAGAGGAGCAGTTCTCCCGCCAAGGACCGAGGACAAAAGGAAAACCCTTTCAAAGTAAAAGCGGTGTGGCTCCCTGTGTGAGGGAGTTTAAAGCTGCAGTTTAACTTTTCTTTTAACACAAAAACTCAATGTGGAGTTGGTTTATTCAACTAATAATCATTAAAGAAAGAGTTCTTTTCATCATCAGGTCGTTAAACTGAAACTAACCAACCTGATGAGCCACAAACATCAGCTCCTTTTAGTAGTTTAGAGTATGTGGATTCACACCTTTATTCTGAAGGAGCTTCCTGTTGGATTTAGCCTCTGATTTGAAATTTTTAGTTCTTTAATATTTCTGCTTGCTGATGAAAGATGAAGTTAAAGTTGATTCTGACGACAACCACAATAAAAAGGAGAAGTTGGTTCACATTTCACTTTATTGTAAATTAATCTTTCAGACAGAAATGAAACCACGGCCAGTCCAGTCATTTTCCAGGACTTTTTCCAGGCTACATTTAAGAATTCCAGGATTATTTTATTTCATTTTTTCCTGAAACTAAAAAGAAAAAGTGGTTTCTGATTTGAGCACAAACAAACTGCAGTGCAGAGGAGACGCTGTACATACAGAGCTTTAGCCTAAATGTTGCTAACAGGAAGTAGCTGAAGTTGTAGCGCTGTACAGACAGGAAGCAGACTGTGGGATATTTTTATAGTGAGGATGAGGATTGGATTTTCTACATGCGGTGCAGCGCTCGGCTGTTTCTACATTTCATTCCCTGTTTTTTTTAACCATCTTTCTGTGTGATTTTGTACTTTCTGGGCGTGATGTGAAGCTGTGGGTCGCAGTGAACATCGAAGGGAACGCAGTGATTGTGTTTTGCGCTGTAGACAAGACAAACTGCACTCACCTGCTCTGTTCCACGCTCCGCTCCTACAGCTCCTCACTCTGGGTTTAAATATGAACCTCGGGAGGCGTGATGTTGATCCGGCTGTTCACACCAAACTGTCCACCTTCCTGTACTCGCACAGTGAATATTCTCCCTTTATTCTGTCTCACTGCGGCAGAATGAGCACTAAATAATCCGATGTTTCTGTGATTTAATGTCAATAAACAGTTCAAAAAGATGCTGAAATAACGATTTGTAAAAAGTCTGAACTCGTACTTTGTCGGACGGTCTGCGAGACAACGAGCAGACTACTTTTAAAATGCTTGTTTTTCTGAATGGAGTTTGGTTGATCAGAGCTATGCTAACTTAGTTTATAGTGAAGTAAAACAGACAGCTGGTATCAAATAACACACATATACACATATACATACAGACACATATTTTCTGTCTTTTTCTCTTCCTTTTGTCCAACAATCTCCTGTTCCGTCTGCTCTCTGTATCAATATGAAGTACGATCCTATATCATGTTCACTTTGCGTTACCCAGTGCAAATTTCTGGATCGACTCTGTACGTAATATACTTACGGAAATAATTGTACTTGTGTTTGGTGTGAGAACACAATCAGTTATAGACTGTATCATCAGTCCATGGGCCAGACCTAAAAATTGGACATAGCTATCAGCAAAGGTTCAATGGTCCTAGGTCCGACTTTAATCGACCTGTCAAAAAAGACATATTAGATCGGTTCATGTACAGAGAACAGCGGCAGTAACCTGGATGTACCCCAGCAGAATACACCAGGTCACAATCTCTCACCTTATGTGTACAACATTGTTAGCTAACTCCTAAAAAAAAAAAAGTTAGTTTTTACATGAACTCACATCAACATGTTGGATGAGATTAAAAGCAATAAACCAGATACATTGATCTGGCAGCTGGTTATTTAGCTAGAAATCACCAACTAATGTTAGTAATTAGGTTTGTTTTTAATATCTGAGTGTTTTATCATATTGGCCAATACTGCTATATATTTAATATATAATATTTTACCTTTTAGCAAAAAATTGCAGCTTCTGTGATTTGGATATTGCATTTGGCCATATTATGATTTCGATAAGATTTCGATTAATTGTGAACTGCAACGACTATAACTGTATATCTTCTCCTCCTTGTATTGTATTTTGTTGTTTATGCTAACATTGATGTACATGTGTCTGAAATAAACTGAAATTGAACAGCTGTGATGACAAAATGACACAAATTGCTAAAATGTTTAATTTATGTGATTTTTATTTAAAATGAATCCGTCATGGCTACACTGGACTTCTGCTACTTTCTTGTTGGTGACGCATCGGGGTCAGTCACCTGGTACAAGTTTCTATCTGAGAGCTGAGGTGAAGGCTATTTTCAAGTAAGAGGCTCAGATTTACAGTCTTTCCCTTGTGGCATGAAGGCAGCGCCAATATTCACACCTTCTAAACCAGAAATTCCACCGGGTGCAGCTTTATGACGTGGACCCCAGCGAGAGTATCTGAGGAGCGAAGCGTCTTCAGAGCGTATTCCTGCCCAGCAGCATCGACTCGTGCAGTCTGCACGGGGGATTTTATTTTAAAACTGGACCGGATTCTCTATGGCGTGATCTGCTTGGTGCTGCTCGACGAGGGTGGGTCGCAAAATAGATCACACTGTAAAAACAAACAAAACAAAAAACCCAAAAAATGTTTAAAAGCAACATTAAAGGCAGCCGCGCCTGGTGGAATTTGGGGTGACCTCTCTCATTCGTCTCCCCCAGAGGCGAAACGTTTGCATTGTTTGTACCTTCCTGGTTTTAAGTGCTACAACATACAGTACAAAGCGTTCTCGGGTTTCAGTAACGATGGAGAACCATTGCACGGTGAACCCTTGGGACCTCGTCACTATTAGAGCAGAGCTGGTGAGACGCTCTGCTGATGTACAGGCAAAGACTAGTGGGAACACAAGTCAAAATATACAGAAAAAGAAAAACCACAAACTGCTCATTTCCTCTGGCACCAGAAATACAAAGCAGTACACTGAGAAGGCATTGAGTGGTTGAGGTTGAGGAAGCAACAAACAGGCTCAAAGGGCAATTTTAAAGGGAAAGTCTGGTGATTTTCTGTATTTCTCTTCTTGAGACTCAAACTAACAGTGGACTAACAGGTAGTGTGTATCGAAGCCTGATACCTCTCCTTCCTCAGTGCCACAGAGTTCCATTGTGTTAGAAACATATCAGTGAGACATATTCATTAATTCTTGCTGCCAACTGATGGCTGCTTTACTCCAAACTATTTGTTTGTATAAATCTCATTGTATTGATATTAGTTGGGACAGGGAACACCCAAACTGGGATGCCTGGTCAACATACCAGAGGACCAAATGTAGACTCATCCGCCACTGAAAATAGTCCCCAACAAATGCACTATTTCTTCATGTTTGAGAGACGTCGAAAAAAATCTTCATGTTTGTGAGATGTTTTTTAAAGATGTGTCCTCTGTAGGAACCAGTGGGCTAAGAGTCGCAGATAAGCACAGGGATGGTAGTGATAAAGATAGAAAAACACCAGACTGGTCCTTTAAGTTTGAATGTGACAGGAAATGAGAAAAAACACAAGTTGCAGCTCTGGTTTTATCTCACTGCTAAAAGTTTTGAGAAATAAGACAAAAATAATTTCCAGTAGGGGAAAACAAACAAAGAATGTACACAGTGTGGACCAAATAAAAACTGTACACAAACTAATCAATACTATACCTGCACAGATTCACCTGGACAGGTATCGTTTCATACCGCAACAATAACTCAGCAAAGAATAAAATAAAAACACATTCGGTTCTGTCAGCTGTAAATGTGTAAAAAGATTTAAGGAGCTTTACAGTTTGTGTTTGAACCACCTGAAACAGTTGTTGAGTCCTGACATCATTCCCAAGAGCTCCAGTATTATTGCAATATCAACATCAGCCAGCAGGGGGAGTAAAAGGGATCGCTGCTTCAGGAGGTCAGAGGTCATAGGCATCATGTTTCACTACTTGATTGTTCATCATACGCCATGACTCATTACCTCCACTGTGAGCTGTGCAGCTTTTTTGGAGTAAAAAAACTGAAATTGAAACAGTTTCAACTTGAGAAAATATATGTTGTCCTCAGTGTGCTGTCTTCACGTCTTAGCACTGAATTTATGCAATGGCGCCACAGCAGACTGTCATACATTGACTGTTGATCCAGTCTGAAGCACACATGTTTACCATCACGTTTAGATCTCTTGTGCTTTTTAAGCCTCTAGATTTGAACCGGATGAAGGAGTTTAGTCATCGGGACGTCTGGATCTTAAGTTATCGAGAGAAACAAGCTGAGGCTAAGCGTTAGCAGCAGCTCGCTCGCAGCCCCTCCGGGACGTCCTTTGTCTGTCCAAACAGCGTGGGAGAAGCAGTGATTTTAAGGTGGAACTGCTTTTATTCAGTGTGTTTATGGTTTAAATCAGCAGGTCTGTTTGTTTGGAGAGGAGGGAGACCTCTGTGGATAATTGGCTCCCGGTAGAAACCTCCTGAAGCCATGAACACTGAAGGAATCGCTAAACCGGAGGAAGCTGACTGCAAAGACCCAATGGTGGTGAAGACAACAACTCCCATGGATCCCACGCTGCTTCCCACCTCATCAAAATTTCATCTTTTGTTGTTGTTGAGAGAGCCCCTAGTGGCAGAAATTACACATTGTATGTTTAAGATTAACAATTAAGCTAACTGGCTAGCTAGCTAACTAGTTTGGAGGTTGAGGCAACAAACTGAACAAATTTTACACCATCGGGAAGCAATGAGCAGGTTAATGTTTGATGAATATTGTAGCTACATAATGCTACATAAGCTAGCTGTTGCACTGTTGGAGCATTAGAGCTGCACAGGTAGAGCAGAGGTAATGTTTCACTGACTGTTTACTTGCACTCCATAGACCAGATTAGCAATTAGGTTAAAGCAAAAAATTGAATAATATGCACTGGAATAATAGTATAAGTCAGTTTACATGCAGCTTGTTCATATTTCTCCCAACATACTGCTGCATACAGCTACTTTCTTATTCTGGCTATCTTATGCAAACTGATTAGTCCTCCCAAACATATACCTGTGCAAATCAGCTTTAATCCCCTCGACCTGATACCAAGTTTCCATGTCAGTGTTTCAAACTTACCAAGATTTTGTAAAATCTGAAGTGCATGTAAACAGTGATAAACCAACATAAAGTCAGTAGGTAGTGACAGACGGATTTTAATGTCTCATCCTCATTAGATGTCTGTTCTGGGTCGGTGGATCACTCAGGGACCGCCACCTTCTGAATATCTGAGCTGTCACGTTTTAATATTTGGTTTTTAACTGGCAAACACTTAGTGATAACATTAAATAGTAAGTGTGTTGAGTATAATAAGGTGTATTTTCTCTGAGTCATACAGCAGTTAGCGAGGAGTAGTGCTGGACCGAATGGCCGCCTTCACTCTGTGAGGCGTCATTCTGCAAAGACGAGGAGCAGAGATATTTTCCTCGCAGTGTTTGAAAGATATTTTCAGAATAACTGGAAGTCGTTCACAGCCTGAGCTCGTTGGCCACTTTGGAGGCGATGTTTTTGAAGGCGATGGATGTGCCTGAGATCCTTTTAAACCGTACGCCGTTGAGCGAGAGGCGGGGCAGCTTGCACACCTCGATCTCCCACTGGACCAGACTGTCCTGCCGGGCATCACCGTGCACGCAGAACAGCGAGTAGCGCTCGCGTTGCTCGTAGTCACAGTTGTTGGCATCCAGGATCCTCCGGATCTCCTTCATCATGTCCCCGGGCTCCATGGAGGACGTGGTCTTCATGCTCCAGGTGAAGCGCAGGGAACGAGGCTTGGAGTCCCGGCCCTCGTCTTTGGGCTCACCTGATAAACTCCTGGAGGAAATAGACCCAACAAACCGACAGCATTAACAGATATTCATCCAGCATCAAGCCAGAAAAGTTTGACCAATTACCTGGATTGCCTGCATCATGTGGCTCACACTAGAGGCCGAGCTGCTCACTTAATGTTAAGCCCTCCACTAACTGGAATGGGGATATGATTATGTAGTCGTGCGGCTCTTCTAAACTTTCCAAATGTTATCCGACCGAATGGATCAAATTCTGATAGTGAAATAAGTCATTCCAAACAATGTTGATGCTCAAAAACTGTATCTGCTGTCTTACAACCTCTTATATTTTCACAATAGTTTTACAATATAACCTTATGGGAACAAGTCTTTTTGGATCAGTGTGCATCACATGACACCATTGCTGTAATTACACGGTTCATCTGCTATCTCACACTGGCCTCAAAGGCCAGTGCTCTTTCTGGTGGGTTGGGTTTAAACGTGTCGAGTTGTGCTGAGATGCATCCAAGATTAACCTTCTCTAGAGTTGGCCCAAAGCATTCAATTCCTCACGTTTATAACAAATCGAGAACGTGGTATCTACCTTTCTATATCTTTGTATCTGTATAAACCAAATACTGGAAAGTTTGGCCAGGTCATGTGGAACCCCATCAAGTAAGTGACTTAAATCAAAAACACTGGATCTGAAGGACTCCCTGACCTTTACTGACCTGCGTACAAACTTCGAGGTGATCTTGCCGATGAGGGATGTAGAGGTGCCACGGCGGGGGGAAGCCAGCGATGCTGTGGCGTGCTGCGACAGGCTGGGCGAGGCGGGCGGGCCGTTGTAGGTGGCGGGTCGCCGGTCTCTAAGCTGAGCGCCATGGAAGGTGGAGCGGCTGGAAGAACCGCGGGGGAAACGGGTTCGGTCCGGCGTTGCGCTACTGCTGCTGGTGATGCTGAAGGCTGAGGGTGACGACGGAGGCTGCTGGGGGGAGCTGAGGTTGGGGGGAGAGGGGGATGTTAAGAGGGCATTAAAGCTTTAGGAGAAAGAAAGTGGCGGTCCTCTGATTCACCTCTGATACTCTACGTTGTCATCGATGGGGGGCAGGCAGGACTTCATGGGATGTCCCGAAGCTGACATGGACTTGACATGACGGGGGCGCGTGGAGGAGACAGTTGCTCCCGGCGATGGGGAGGGGGATGCTGCAGGTACCTCGGGTAGACTGAAACAGAAATGGATTAGTTATTGATTTGGAGAGTAACAACCTGTGATCAATGAATACTCCCAGAATTACCTGCTGTCCTTCCCGTTGGGAACAGCAGCCGAGTGGCGTTCAGTACTCGTCCTCTCATTAACGTACGTGTTCCTCCGAGTTATGCTCTGTAACACAGCAGCAGCAACAAGTCAAAAACCAGAAGTGCCGGTACTTCGTGTTGGCCGTTTCATCAATGAAATACAACTGTAGCAAGTAACTCACTTTCACTGTCCTCATTTATATTTAAAGACGCTACAAATTATATCCAGCTATAAAAAAAAGCTTTAGAAGCCAGCTGTAGATGCAGCGGCTGGTAGCTCATTTTAAACAGCTGGAGAGAGTATGCCGACCTTCCGGTAATATTAAACAGCTTCGTCTTTCCCTCTTTGAGAGTCCAACAAAGGCTCCGTAAACACGTCGGCATATTCATGAGATATTTATGGGTGATTGTGGTAGGACACTGGGAGTGTTTTACTTTTGGAAATGGACTGCAAAATAAACTCGTAGTGGAACTTTGAGTTGGATTATTTCTGTTTTTGGATTTCTGGTTTATTTTGTTAAAATCTTGAAAAAGATAACTTCGATTTTGACTTTTGTGTTTGTGTTCATGTGAATTCAGTGTAAGGGTGTGTATCCTTAGGCGAAGATTGATTAAAACCCTTTTAAGGAGAAAAACCTGGCTGGCACCCTTAACTAAATATAATGTAAAAATTAGAAGCAGCAGGTCAAACTGTTGGTGTGCGCTGCGTGCTTTTATAGATCAGAATCACTGAGGTTTATAAATGAGGGTCAGATGTACGAAATGAACAAATAACGTTGCTGATTACAGTCTGAAGGTGTCAAACAGTGAGCAGATTAATACTCATCTGTCCAAATGGAGGTCAGAAAGTGTTGATTCTATATGTGTGTGCTGTTTGACCTTTAAACCTGGTCGAAACCTGGGATCCATACCAGGACCTGGTTTAGACCAGAATCTGAATACTCTCACCCCCGAGGCTGTGGCTGACCTCCTGCGGTCTGGAGCTCCCATGGGTGAAGCCGGCTCTTCCTTCCTGTCGCTTTCCACACTGTTGGCGTGGGAACGCTTGGTGTAGGAGACAGGTGGGGGGATAGAGGGCGCCACTGAGACACAAGACAGAGGGCATTCAAAGACTTTCCCCTGATATGTGAGTGTGAATGCTGCGTGGACAGAAACTCACCGTGGTCACTAAAACGCCGCTGCTTCTGATTGGTCGATACGTTGCGAGGGTGGGCAGGGGACTGACCGGAGCCGTTGAGCTCGCTGCTAGGTCGTGTCCTCTGAACCAGGTTACTGCTGGACAAAGATGCACTGCCTTCAAACTGGTGGAGAGAGACACAACAGAGGGGGTTTCAGTGGATTCTGGTGAGATGAGGACGGAGCTAGGCTAGCAGTTTCCCCTTGGTTCAAGTTTTTGTGCTAAGCTAGGCTAAACACGTCCTGATCTGTACCAGACTGAGAGATGAATCTGATACCTTAGAGATCAAGAGGATTTCAGTGAACAAACCTCAGCAGGTTTCCTCCCCAGCAGCAGGTATATTGCCGTCACCTCGTTGTACTTTGGACCGTCCAGCGCCTTCATCACTTCCTCCTGAGGGAATCCCATCGTCCCCATCAGCTCTGATTGGTCAGAAAACACACAGCACGCTCAGCGTTGGTTGATGCAGAAACAAGACTTAAAGGGCCGTCCACAGTGAGAACGATGGCGATGTGAGCGACCGCACTAATCAACGGTGACCCGTCACCACTGTCGTTATAGTTCTAGCATGGACTGACCCGTGGAAAATGACACACGCTCCCCTGAAGGTTAACTTTGAGACATTTAGGAGGGAGCTGTAAAAAATATTTTGTCTTATTTATATAGCACCTTTTAAAACCAGTTCAAAGTGGTCCACCAGATAAAGAAAGTGATGAGCCATGAAATGTAATATAAATATTATATTATAAATATAATTAATAATAAAAGTACCATAATAAGAGCAGAACAGAAGCCATACAAATCAAATCAAATGGATATTCATTTAATAAAATAGAAAGGGGTACGTGTGTGTGATGTGTGAGTGTGTGTGATGGGGTGTGTGTGTGTGTG